ATTAATCCTTCTCCTATTCCTGGAGGTAGCAAGCCTTCCAGGGAAAGTTATCATGCTCATGCTTAACTGAGCATGATCAGACAACACATGGAAAAAGAGATTCTGTTCTAGGCACCCTGCTTGTAAACAGAGATGGTAAAGGAACTCAAAAACCTGCTGTCTGAAGAACAGAGGAATGAAATGTAAATTGGACATATTCCATGAAACCCCAAGGAACAAGACAAGGACAGTGGATGGAAGTTATGTAAACATAGTCTATCAGTCCAATGTGTCTAATGATATGTGACAGAACATTAGGAGTAATGAATTCCCTGTTGTGGAAGGTGTTCAGGTACAATGAGCTCTGATAAGGATGGGGCAGAATGTATCCAAACTCAGAACAGAAAAGTTAAATGCATCACCTTCCAGGACCACTTTTACCCTGAGATCCTCTGACTATAAGAAATAGAAGCCACAGTCACTGACTTTGGGGGACTTAAAAGTCATTCAGTGACATAAAATAGGTGCCTTTGAAAAAGTGGTGGGAATACCACATCCACCAGGGTCCAGGCAGAAAGCTAAAGGTACCACAATTTAGGCAATATGAGGAGAGTTTAATAAAGAGACTGTTTCTAAGAGTGTGGGCAATTTAAGGGGATAACACAATGTCCTGGGGCCAGCGACAACAGAAAGAGGCAAGGCCATCCTTCAATTTCCCTAGCCCTTAAAAGGATGAGAGGAGGAAGCAGTTACCAGAGCTGGGAGAGAGAGGGAAAGGACTACCTGACAGGAGCTGTGACTTTTCATCCTACAGGATCACTGTTAGGACTGTGGGGGAGGGAGCAGGGGCTGGTATGAGCCTGCAGGACGGAGGCCTGGAGAAATCTGGAGGACCAAAGGAGAATATCTAGCATAAATGCTAGCAAGGCACACAAAACAGGGCAAACAAGGAAAGCCCTAGTCTGGGTAAGAGGTTGGAATATATTCTCTTTCTCAGGTCCCTTCCAAAGGGTGTAGTATGCATTTTTATTGGCAGAGACTCATAGACCTGTTGTTCTTTACTATCATTGTGTATCACTGGCTCTTTTTCATTCTTCAAGCATCCCCTTGGATTTGCTCTCTGAACTAAGCACTCAACTGCAAAATATATGCTGTACCCAAAATTGTAGTACCATAGAATACATGTTATAGAGCCTGAAAATCTGAATACAGAACCATCTACCCAAACTTAGGCAATTTTCCTTCAGGTAGCCTTGCTACTCATTCTTTTATTCAACAGATAAGTTTAATTATCTCCAACCTGTCAGGCACTGTGCTAGACACAGGGACACAACAGTCAACAAGACAAGTCCATCACTGCCTTCACGGGGTGTTGAGCTGACTATCAATCACTCTAATCTATAACACCCCTCGTCAGTAAAAGAATCTCACAAGTGCTGTAGATCAGAGGTTGACAAATGATGGCCCACGGGCCAAATCTGGGGGGGAGGGGAGGCTTGCTTGTATAAACCACATTTTATTGAAACAGCCACGGCCATTCTCTTATGTATTGTCTACTGCTGCTCGAGTGCTACAGCTTCAGAGCTGTGTCACTGCCACAGAAACAGCATGGCCTTGAAAAGTCTGAAACATTTACTATCTGGCCCTGTACAGAAAAAGTTTGCCAACAGCCACTCTAAATAAAACGTAACGCTTTAAGGACGCAGATGTAAGGACACATATTGTCGCTCATAAAACATCTCTGAATACTGCACAAACCAAATCATGAGGGGGTTGGCTTCCTGCAGGGCTATATTTCTACTAAGTTTTGTTTTTGTTGTTTATTTTGCTTCTTTCATTGTGAAGAAAGGTATCATGTGGCTCATGTCTTCTATCGACACATTGCCTTACATTATATATAGGCTTTTGATTGATCAATTTTTCCACATCACAGAAGGACCATTTTTACAAAAGATCCTTTTCTCTGAAGAACACCGAACAAATTTTGACAGGGGTGACTTGAGGCTCTCTTTTAAACTGAACAATAAAATGGACTGTAAAAGCACTTAGCTAACATGCAAATGCTGTATAAATGCAATATCATAGCAGCAAGAGTACCTTCACTTCCCTACAGACAGAAACATGAGTGGATGCTTTTTCCCCAATCACTTGTCCCAGAGAACATTAAAATTTTAAATGAAAGAAAACAAAACCTAGCTTTCACTGGCTGTTACCAAAAATTCCTAATAAGAAGTGACAGGATCTGTGCAGGTTGTGGTTCCTCCAAAGGATGTTAAGGGGTTAAGTCAGTGGTGGCTGTGGCTGACCATCGATTTGCCATTCCCAAAGCCCTTTTCTTTCCCTAACAGTAATCAATGTAGCAGAAATAAAATTAAATGGACCCTTAGTTCATATTTAGTCACTACGATGCGGCAAAAACTGGATTGAGAAAGATCCTTGCAAAGTCTCGGTTCCTGAAAGTTCTGCCACCCCACCAAACCACTGATAAAATACACATCTAGTGCTTGAGAGAGGGGAGACTGAGTCCAACAGTGAACAGAGAACTAAGGATGAGATGGTAACAGAGAGGCAGCATGGGGAAGGGAAGGTTGACTCAGCAACAAGAGAGATCTCTTAATACCAGCTTAGCCAGTCTATCCTTGAAAATGCCTTCCTTAGACCATGTCAACTCCCTCTAATACATACGCTTTTAACATCCCATACTCTCGCTTCACATCAGTTACCACAACTGCAACTGGATAATTCCTTCTTTAATTAGTTGTTTGATGTCTGTGTCCCTCAGTGACAAACAAGCTCCACTGAGCTCATTATCTGTCTGCTCAGAGCAGGAATCCCTACAGCTAACACATGAGGAGTACTGAAAAAATATCAGGTGACTGACCTAAAGAATGAATGGATAGGTAAGCAAGCTGGATCCTACATACTCTGCAAGCATATAAGAAAGTTCTAGCCAACATTTTCCTGTACTTATATACCATACACAATATTCTAAGAATACGCACTAATTGCATACCAACACTTATCTTCTCTACCTGTTGTTCTTTACTATCATTGTGTATGCCACATCTCTCTGCTCTTACAATCTCTTCTTCTGTACTGACTTTTATCTCTCAACATACAACCATGCTCAGGTTGCTCCTAGCTTTAAAAAAGAAAAAAAAAAAAAAAACCCTCTCTAATCACCCCCCCTCAACCTAGCTGTTCTTACCAAGGTCACAAATGACATCATAATTGCCAAACCTTACGTCTATTTGCAAATCCTCATTCTATTTCTCTGCAGCATCAGACCACTAATATGACCCTAATGGCCGCTCCTCTATTCTTAAAACACTTTGCTCTCTGACTTCAGGGCACTACTCCCCCAATTATCCTTCTATACAATTCCCTGTCAATTCTATAGCTGAATCTAAAGACGTGTCTAATTTTTCCTCAAACCATTAATACCTCTTGTCTTTATTACCTCATCAACCTTCTGACTGATCTTTTCACTCCTTCCAATCCATTCTTCACAGTGCAGTCATACACTTCCCTCAATAAAGCTCCAAAATGACCAGGCCTAATTTAACTAGCTCTATTAAAGTGTGACTCTTGACCTTCAAGTATTTTTTCAAGTAGTTTAATGTATATGTGACATACACATGTCCTGTAAAAGAACTAAAATATTCTCTTTGATCTTCACAATATCCACTGGACTCCTAACATCTTTATATATGCTAAAACATTTAAGATAGCATTTTCTAAGCTTTAACAAAGCCTCCAAAATACTGGTTTGGGAAAGCTGGTTCCAAATACTGGTATTCCCTCCATCATTCATGAAAAAAACGTCATCCAGATTATACATGTTCCAAATTACACATGCTCTTTATCGCACTTGATCTAAAACCCTTCTAAAGCAGTAAGTCTTCCAAAATAAAAACAAGTAGAATAGTGGATAGCAAATCACAAATCTTTGCCAAGCAACTGAATCTCACTGCAGCCACATGATACACTGTAAATTCTCTGGATTTTAAATAGGAAAAAGGCAATACAAACGAGCCCAAGAAAGTGATCAGTGTGTGTGTAATTAATTTGGCAAAAACATTACTATTGAAAAATATGTCATGAAGAGTCCATGTTATTATGTGTTTTTCGACATTATAAACATTTTATGAATATTAAACAACAGTACATTTCTTTATAATCTATGGATCCTGATGGAATTCAAGTGCAAAAACATGTTTCCGCAATTCCAGACTGCGAAGCTACTTGAAGCCTTTCATAATTCAGTCCAAGCTACTTCTCCCATCTTATTTCCTGCCACTTCAAACACTCTAGACACACTAAAACATTGTTTTCTCCATGCATGCCTGGCTTCTTGCCTTTACTCTTACTACCCCTTCATCTGTAATGAATTCCCAACTTCTTCCCCTATTTTCCAAATATCTGGTACTTATCCCACCTCCACGAAGCTTCTCTGTCCCACAGCATTTGGTCTGATCCTTCTAATGCAATTTTACCCTTCCCTCTGAATGTTTCTTGGGCACTTATAGATCCATCCCTAGCACAAGCCTGTGAGGTCCTTGAGTGAGGAAGTCATGTGTGTCCCATCTTTGACACCTACAGCACTTTATACAGTCCCTCCAATACAGCAGGTGATCATTTAAAGATCTACTCAATGAATGGATTTGCCAACCCCACCAATGGTTTCAAAACACAGGTCCCGCCTTCTCCTTGAAGCCTCAGGCACCATTTTGGTAGTCAAGCTAAGTTTAAACATGCTCAGAGCCGTGGGACACACCACAGACACCACGAATTTCTATGCCAGTGCTCCGGTGACCCCGGAAGCTCCAGTGCGGGCGCGATCCGCGTAATTAGGTGAAGGGAAACCCCAACAGTGTGCGGAACTAGACACGGAGGTGCGAGCGGCAGGAACGTAGATCCAACCCCCGGGCTACGGGAAAGGAACGGCCAGGCGACCCGGGCAGAAGGCGCGGCCCGCGAGGCTGCACAAGCGGAGGCGTGCGGGGCGCTTCCCCACCTACCTTCGGGGCTCCTGCAGAGGAGGGAGGGCGCCCTCCGTGGGGAGCCAGTGCAGGCGGGGAGGGACGCTCTGGCGCTGAGGCCGGCGAAGCCTGAGCGCCTGCCCACGCGGCCAGGCGCCCGACCCGCAGCCCGGAAAGCTGCCCAGCTCGCCCCGCGTTCTACCCTCGGGGGGAGTGGGCGGGGGGCGGGGCCAGAGACCGCAAGCCCCAGAAGGCCCCGCGGCCCGCTCGGCGCGCCGCCCTGTTGGCCGCCCGAGCCGCGCAGCGGGCTCCGGAGCCCGGGTAGCGAGTGGGTGCGCGCTCACCCCGAGCTGGCTCGGCCCGGCGTCGCCCCGTTCTTTTAGGAGGGCTCCGAGAAGGGAAAGGAAACGCCCCGTCGCTTTCCAAAGGAGTGCGCCCCCTCGGGTTTGCCAGTCGGAAAGTGAGATCGAGGCCTTAGGAAGAAGAAATCTTCGAAGTGACTCGTGGAAAGACCTGCACTGATTCCATTGGGGGAGGGGAGAACTGAGGAGAAGATGAGTCCTAAAACAATTGTTCTTTTTCCAGAGGTGAAATTAAATTTCCATGTCTTACAAGAAATTATTATTCCAGAGTGGATTTGCTCACTTTTTACCTTTCACGTTGTATTTTTAATCTGTATTCTTAAGTCACTTATGCCTTGCCTCGTTCTAAAATTCTGTCGTATTTTAGAATCCCAACTGGATTCCAAGCATCCTGAGGACATATTCTTTGTAGCCCTCTTTAGTATTATACGCAGTGTGAGGTTGCTATTGGGTAGAAGTTTCAACAGACATTTAAAGAATCAATCATCGATCATTTCTACGTGGAGGTCTGTTCAGTTCATTTTGCTAAATGGATGAACCTTCTTCATTAAGATACCCATTTGCATGCAATCAGTTATTGTACATTTCTTTAGAGCATCACTGCTCTAACCATCTGCCCGTTAGAAAGAGTCAATGATTTTAAGTCTACTGTAATTTGTTTAATATATCAGTCTTCATTAATCCTGCAGAGGCAAATTTCAGGTAAGCCCAGACTGAATTATCTTGAACTCCAAATTAATGAACACTAGATTAATGGTTTACTGTATTTGCAGTTCTTATTTGAGAAATGTAAAATCCAATCATAGTTCATCTATCACAGAGATAATCAGGAGTCGAATAGGAGAAATGTTACAAAGTTGCCTTGTGTACTGCATGTGTGAAATGCGCTTCAATTCCACTCATTCATTCATTATGCAAATTGGATTGACCTCCTATCTTGTGCCAGGAACTGAGTGAGGCATGATTATTGCCCTTTACAAGTGTAGTCTGGTAATTAAAACAAATGGGTAAACAAACTATCAAAATACAGTGCAGTCACTGAAATCCTATTGGAAAACTGCAGTCAGTTTTAACAAAAAGTGTATCCTTTCTCATTAAGCTGTACATAGATATTTACTAACCTGAGTATATTTACAATTTTCTTTGAGCTTCTGAAGATGGAATGGTTATGGATTTTATAAAAGTGTATAATGGAAAATAACTTCCATGAAAATGGTACAAGTTTTCATACTCGTTTTTGTGTTACTCATCCCTAGTGGGAATATGTAATAAGTAACCAGTACATCTTTGTTGAATAAAGAAATTAATGGGTTCCCAGTATCTTAAAACATTTAATTTGTGCCTTTTGAAACTACTTTTCTAAAAATGTGATTCAGTTATGTGTGCCATGGCCCAAACAACTTTTCTAGTAGAGTTTAGGAAGAAGGGTAAGGTGAAAATGTGCAAAGATGCACCTAAGCTCTCTTATCTCTTCATTTTGTTTGCTGCATGTAATTGCAGAATATTTGAAGGGGGCTTGAATAAAGAGTCAGGACAGACTATCTTAAAAAAATCATGTTTCTCTCATGTAACAGTTTTTTTTTCAACAAAGCAAATTCATTAAATGCCAATCCATATATAGCAGAGGAAATATTATGGTAACTATGTAGAAATGTTTAGGATCCATATAAAAACATAAAATAAGGGCGCCCGGGTGGCTCAGTCGTTAAGCGTCTGCCTTCGGCTCAGGTCATGATCCCAGGGTCCTGGGATCGGGCCCCCGCATCGGGCTCCCTGCTCGGCAGGAAGCCTGCTTCTCGCTCTCCCACTCCCCCTGCTTGTGTTCCTGCTCTCACTATCTCTCTGTCAAATAAATAAAATCTTTAAATAAATAAATAAATAAAATAAAATGGTTTACCTCTGTGCAAAATATAAAACCTTAGATGGAGAGTACTCAATTATTATTAGCTAGTTTAACATCAACCTAAAATAAGTAAAATGGATAAAGTGAATGCAAAAAATGTAATCAAGAGAGGTGCCTGGTTGGCATAGTCAGCTGAGCCACAAACTCTTGGTTTCAGTTCAGGTAGTGATCTCGGGGTCCTGAGATCCAGCCCCGCATCAGGCTCCGCACTCAGTGCAGAATCTGCTCAAGTTTCTCTCTCCCTCTCCCTCTGCCACTTTCCCCCATGCTCGCGCTCTCTCTCTCTCTCTCTCTAAAATAAATTAATGTATGGTGATTAACATAACATAATAATTTAAAAAATTAAAAAATAAAAAATAAATAAAAATAAAAAAACAAAGTTCTAAAAAAGTTTTAAAAAATAAAAAAAATAAATGAATAAATCCTTAAAAAATGTAATCAGGAAACAATATTAAACAGCTACTCTAATCATAAGGAGCAAAATATCTGAAAATTTCAAATAAGAATGTAAAGTATATTTTTAAAAAACCTATTGTTAGAAAAGTAATTTGCATTATTTTATAATATAAAATTACAGAAACAGTAGTAAGTCTATCAAGAAACAGAAACTTCAGTAATCCCTAGGCCAGCACCCATTTACACAGGAGAAAATTATTAGCTCTGTGTTCAATTCAGTAGTTCAAGAAACATTTATCATGTTAGGTACCAAGTATAAAAAAGTCCTTGTCCTCAATGATCTTGCTGTCTAGTAAGGGAGCCAAATTTTACCATTAAGATAATACAACTAGCAAACTGAACATGCCCACTATGCCAGGTAATCATGGGCTACCTCATTGAATTAATCTTCACAAAAGCCTTATGGGCCTTAATCCTTATTTTACAATGAGGAAACTAAAATTTAAATTGGTTATTCATCCAAGGACATTCAGCTTGTACATGGGGTAGCTAGGACTCCTACAATACCCTGTCTTACTCCAAAGTGAGTAAATTTAATCCTTCCACTCTAGCTCAACCAGGAAGCCAGCTAGGTCCCTCTTTAGCTGCTGCCTTTAATTCTAGTCCTTATTTGGAGCGTTCCATCCACTAATGTCTTAACATTCTCAGTGGTGTCTGGGACAGCTAATTGTACAAGTCTTTTGTGTCTTTTAACCATTCATCAGACTTTCTGGAGCCAGGTCTCTTGGTTAGACTTCTACCTGATAATAACACCTGCTTTAATTTCATATCTGTACTTGTCACCACTCACTATTCTATGGCCCATATTTTTCTCAAATTGATCGAATACCCTAACATAATTTTCAGCAGATTATGATCTCATGGTCATTAGAATTAACATTATACTACAGAATCCTGCCTATCATTATCATCAATAATTCAAATACTATTATCATAAAATTAGTAATCTATACCGTTATTTATATAATTATTAGCATAGTCCAGATAACATCTTACAGTGTTTCCCAGCTTTTATCAAAATGGTTGGTACATGCTTTAAGAAGAGCATAATCCATAAAAGTTTCCAAGTGTTTAAAACCATTAAATTACATCAAATTCATGAAAAAAAATAAGAACCATATGTTTTTAAAGTACTTAATTATGTATTTTAAAGTCTAGAATTATAGAAAAGTGGAAAGATTAAGAATATGGCTGAGAAAAGAAGCTTTTACAACTATGCATTACATCTCTTTAACATACCTAAAATCACATACTATAAAAATAATTACTCCCCAAATTAAAATATGTTACTTTACTTACAGAATGTATTCAGGAAGAATTTAAAAAGTATTTTACAGGAAATTTATATTTTGAATTTACAGGGAATGTTAAGCCTTTGCCTCCCAAAAATCCATGTGTAAAGAGAATAATTCTTTTTCATATGAATATTTATTCTAATTTATGTGATTGTAAACTCAGTTTTTAGCATTTTTTGTTTTCTCAGAGCAGTACATTAGTGAATTTCAGTGGTTTTTTTTTATTGAAAGGGTTCACAGTTTTACCATCTGAATTGATTAAAGGTATAAAAAACAAATTAGACTAATCTATCAGAATTATAAACACCACAGAAAGTATTTTAGGTTTATTAGGGAAAAAATGATGCTTTATGAAAATATGAGGTGAAAAAGAAGCTTGGGATCCTGGAAATCACTTAGGCATGTTACCAAGTTGGAAAAGGGGCTTTTCTTAAAAGCCTTCTGTGGAAATCAAAGAAAGCTTGCAGGAGCGCAGACTGCTCTGTGACCACTGGATTTACTGTGACTTACTGAAAGACTAGATGATACACACTAGCAAAGAAAGTTAAGGCAAAATAGGTGCTATGAAAAATATGCACATTTAAAGCATTAATTTTAAATGAATAAAATTATAAGAATTAGGCAGAAGTATTCAAAATTGATGCTGGGAAGTCCAACCATTAAAAATGCAAAGGTGATTTAGTAATGGGAAAAATTTTAAATGACAATATTTTGGTCTTATTTAATAATACAAATATTAATCTGTGTAAAACGGTTCAGATAAAATATTAAAGAAAGGAACATTAAGATTATTTGAAAAAAAGAAAAAGTTATGTTCTGGGGGTAAAAAAGGCAGAGTAGTGGCAAATCTTCTAGAGGAAGAGTGTGAAACTGACTACATAAATACTACAGTAAGGCATATAAACTGCCTAAGGAGTCAAGAAGGTAGGTATTAAAAACACTGAGAAAAAGCCCATATCTTATATTGTGTTATCTAGCAATACATCTGTTTTATCCTCAGTGGAGATGAATTTGTCTTTTTTTTTTTTTTCTTTTTACACTGATAGAAGACATACAGTGTAGTGATTATGAGCATGGGCGCTCTGAACTGAGATTGCCTGGTTTGGTTCACTAGTTTGCCTCGTAGTAGCAAGTGACCCAAGGTAAATTTGCTTGGCTTTTAAGATCCCAATTTCTTAATCTATAA